GCACAGGAGATACTTGTGTTGAAACTTGAAAATGACTAACACCGCCAAATTTTACTCTCTCTACTCTGACGTTTTTAACTTTCTTGTCCCCCAAGCAGTAAAGTGACCCACACCCACTCCCCCCTGTGCCAATGCCAGAGGCATCATTATGCTACCAAAAAAAAAAAAATGATTTCTATCTTATGTAATTAAACGTGCATTTTATGTTCACAAAGAAAATGAATTTTCATTTTTATCTTTAAAGTGAACATCTATCCAGTCACATGTTAAAGGTTTTCGCAATTTTGGGTGTCTGGTACGTTAAACTGAATGAATAAATAAATACTCTCTCCGTCCCAAATTTATTTTCTAATTTTTATTTTTAATTTTAGTATAATTTGAATTAAAATTAAAAATCTAAAGTGGACAATAATTTTGGGACGGAGAGAATAAATAATAAGAACCACTGGATTTATTTAGTACAAGAAGCCAATCTACACAATTCATTAAAAGGTTAATTTGGCTGTTACAGTACCTCTCTTGTCTGTTTTTTCTTTCCACAATTCTACTATTATTACTACCTGGCGCTGGCAGCAACAAACGTCCCCTGCCAGTCGTGTTTTTCAGTCTTTCCCATGGCGCGTGTCTTTTTTCAAAGACTGCCCTTCTTTCCCAACTAGTAACCTTTAGCACCACCAAAAAACTACGACTTTTTTTTGGAAATGAAAAACAACGAGCTACTCCACCTTATTAGTACCATCCCAAAAAGTAAGAGAAAGCAACGAATGGAATTTTTCTGAATATAATTACCTTATACCCCGATAATGTTACAATTTTAATGTGCATGCATCCCAAACACCCGAGAATAATAAATCCTTCCAATTTTTTCCCATTAGTATTTCTTGCTTTGGATCGATGTTATAATCTACCATTCATCTTTTTTTTCTGCAAGACCCTTCCACAATTCATCCCATTCAAACCATACCTAAAAGTTTTTTTTTTTTTTTTGGAGGGAAACTAAATGCGGATTAAAGATAAGCATTGTTGTTTGTTTCTTATACCGAATTGTGATCTCTACATGCATGGTGTTTTAAGCTGGATATTAGGCAGAGTTCACGATTATAACAAATTAAAAATATACTACCTCCGTCCCACAAAAATAGTCCACATTAAATTTTTAATTTTGTACTGTTTTTAGTATAAATTTGAAAACTCAATGTGAATATTTTTTTGAAACGGAAGTAGTACTTGATAAATTTAATATTGCAATACAGTAACGTGACGACAAGAATTCATAAAGAGCAACAATATTGCCTAAATGGTGAGTGGTTCTATAACAGGTGTATGTGTATACATGGTAAGTTAGTAAATACTACCTCCGTTCCACAAAAATAGTCCATATTGAATTTTGAATTTTGTATTGTGGATTATTTTTGTGGGACGGAGGTAGTAGCAAAATACACGTGTATGAGAAGAGTATATAGATATACAATGTTGAGGAATGACGCTCATTTCATTTGATACGAACAGCCAATGATGATCATGATGTTTATCACTTATTAAATTATTTTCTTTCTTTTCTTTTTTATTTTAAAGCGACAAAATCTTTTGTGGTCCAAGTCTTTTGTGGTCCAAGCCCGTATAGTCTCGGGAGGTAGCCTGAGAATTGCGGCTCGAACCCTGAAAAGCGCTCTCTTTCCCTCCTTTTTCCAAGTGATGATGAACAGGCAATTTTTATTTTTTTTTGCTTTCCCAAAGCATTGATTTAGATTTCTGTTTGTCTTATGAGACATTCTCCTTTTTACCACCAGTTTTCTAGTCATTGAGTCCCAAAAAATAGTTTGCCTCATTCATTGGCTTATATACTGATGCCAAGTTCACACAATCCCAAGTTACTATGTTCATTTTTTAAACTATCTTAATCCAATTATTCTTTACTTATAATTCTTGCTAATGCGCTTTTTTTTTTTTTCTCAAATTCCTGAAACTGCTCCATATGCATGCGATTTCTCTCTACGTGTTAGAGGGATTCAAATCGGTTGGGCTCTGAAACCTACTTATACTGAAATTTCTATGTATGCAAATTTAAAAAGGATAATATTCTCTCTGTCCTAAAATTATTATCCAGTTTGAAATTTTACTTATAGTATTATTTGAATTAAAAATGAAGATCCAAACTGAAAAATAATTTTGGAATGGAAGGAAAGGAGTAATACTTCTTATTGAGATGAGGTTGAATACACTTTTCGTGTTGGTGTAGGGGGAACCTATAAAGACAGAGTAGATAGGTGGTAGAAGCCAACGAAAAGCAAGAAACCACTCGTACGGACTACAGAGGGGATTGAAAAGTTTATTGGGTTTCCATTTCTTCATAATACATTTCTTTGGAGGTAGAGGTGCATCTAGCTATGGCCTCCTTGCAAAATCACGCGCCATGGTGGAGACTTAAAAACATGCCAAGGGAATGGGTTTTTTTTCCTTCACAAACACTTTTTATTCGCAGTCTTTTCATCTTAAAAAATATACACAAAAGTATATATTTCTTTAGTCTTATAAAAATAATTTACATTAAGTTATGAAATATACTCTCCCGTCCCATAATTATTGTCCACTTTTACTAAAATGAAAGATTTTATTTTTAGTCAAACTTAACTATATTTTATCTTGAACAACCGGATATACCCCTACATAAGTAATTGTTTAACCACAAAGATTTTATGGATAATATTTTTTACTAAGGACAAATGTGTAACTTGATCCATAAAAAGTCAAATTGGACAATAATTTTGGGACAAAATTTTTTGGACAAAGTAGACAATAATTATGGGACGGAGGGAGTAATATTTTTTTAGTAAATTCAATGTAAACTAGTATTTTTTGAAACGGAAGTTGAGCTGTTAACTTGGGTTGAGGATTTACATAATTACCGAAATGTGGAAAGTTGGGATCAGTGTGAGTAATTTATAGCCTCTTCACGGAATAGGGAATCAATGGTGCAAAATAATTATTTGGGACTTGATAATAAGAGAACTAAAACAAGGTAATCAATGATCAGAAAGAAGAAGACGTGAAGAACAAGAACTATTCTGTAAAAACACTTCTGATTTTGAATTTAGAATAACCGTCTCAATCTTTCTTTACTACAGAGCTTAATTTACAAAAGAAGCTATACGAGTATAATTATATATACTACTCTACCATCTAATTTAACAGTTGTACTTATTTACAAAACTGCCACATCTAGAACCTTCAAGGCGGTTCCCAGAATCTATTTTGCGTGTTGAGCACGTTGAATGCTGATGTGGAGCTGGTGCACCTGAACATGGATGAGTCCGACTGGAAATTGGTTGTTGCTGGATGTTGATCAGAGACGTTGCTGTTGATGATGCAAGGTAAGCTTTGAGCTGAAGGCGTGTGATCACTTACTTCAATCAGAACTGAAGGCGTATGATCACTCGTTGAAGGCGCGAAAGCTAACAGGCTGTGTTCCGATGACGGCGTGATTTCAGATTCCTTCAAGAACTGGGTTTGTAAAGGAAAATGTCTCAGGAGACAAAACAGAAAAACTAATGCTCAGAGAAGGAAAAAAAAGTACACTTATATTCCCAAGGGATTTTCTTTTCCTACCTTTTTTTTTTTTTTTTTTAATCTGTTCAACATCATCAATGGCTATCGTACCAACTGAGAAACATTCCTCCAAATGAAATTAAATACTATGTAATATTGCTTGAGCAAAAATATGTTCTTCTCGTACACGTGACTTGAGATATTACTACACATTATAGAAATGGAACCCGAATGGGCCATGCCATCAACTAACATCTGTACTACAAACTACATTGAGCAAAAATATTGCTCTTTTTTACAGCTCATAAGCTTTTGTGGCCGCGTTACTTTATGCAAATACTATGTGTCCTCAAACTATAATTCAAGTTAGATTTTTCGTTCATAGTTTAAATTCATTAAAATGAAATTTAAAACTAAACAGCATTTTTGAGAGAGAAAATAATATTCATAATATGTGTCGAAGTATTCTACTCCCTCTGTCCCAAAATTATTGTCCGGTTTGAGTTTTTAATTTTAGTATAAGTTGAACTAAAAATGAAAATTCAAAATGAACAATAATTATGGGACGGAGGGAGCAATTGTTAATCGTGTAACTCTATCTAAGAAAATCACCCACTATATTCATATTCATACTTCTTGAATTCAAAATACAGTGTACCTTGGAGATCACAATTCGGTATATCAGCCAAACAATTTGCAAGGTACATATGAGAGATTTTATTGTTTAATAAGAACAAAGAAGAGAGAAAAAAAAACGACATTGGATTACATTTGGGGATGAAAGACAACACCCCACAGGCAAATTCTGTGTACATTACTAGCTATCTAGCTATACTGCAAAACTCGCCATAGCATTCAGAAATCAAAATTAAAACCAGATGGAAAATGCCACGCGTAAGAAACTCAGAGGAGGGCAACAAATGGTGCGTATTTTCAACCGTAACTCTAAAAACATCACCCTCACCCACATGGCTGGAAACATCCCATTTCAGTCAATTTTCGCTCTGCACTCCTGTTGGGATTGGCGCCTCCCCTGACGATTCGGTTATGCTCTTTTTTTTTTTTCTGTCAGACAAAAAAATCTCCAAAAATCACCAGCGTTTTTTCAGCATTGCCATTTGCCACACACACTCACACAGTGGGACAACAGAGTTTTAAAACCCAACACACAGCACACACAGTCACGTACCATAATCCATTTTGCTCTCCATCTCAGTATTATATCATTCTCAACAAGGTAAAGTTCTGGTCTTCTTCCTCTCCTCGTCTCCTTCTTCTTATTCTTCTTCGGATTTCCTGGCTCAGAGAGTTCCGCTGCTTTATTTTTTCAAGCTAAAAATTAATGTACCACACATATATATTTATCTAGTTGATCCGTACGTAGATCTGTTAAAATATTCTTGTTTTAATCCCATTCTCATCACTGTCTGTGTGTGTTTTCTGGGTGATTGCAGATGGCATCCAGAATTACAAGTTTTCTTCTCAAGAGGATGAATCCAGCTGGCGTAAGAGCCCTTTCCACAAAGGCTGGTAAGCAGATTTTCTAGGTGTTCGTTCCAAGTGCTTTGTGTGTAATGAACTCATATCATCTTCAACATTTATTTTGTTTTGGCCTGATTTTCTACAGTTCCGCCGCCTCGTTTTTCCTGGCTTGAGCAAGGCATCAAGACTCCTATCGTTGACCAAAAAGGTAATTCCTCATTTATATATCCTAACAATCTGGAGATTATATTTGTTCTAAGGGAATTTTATTTTGGTGATTAGCCCCCCGTGATCAAAACTGCATCTAGAGACAAAAACTTATAAATGGGCAGCTTCTTTCTTCTTTCTAGTCTTTTCTCTGGTTGACGTACGTGGGTGGGGGCTTTTGGGAGAAGCAAATACTTATATAACAGTTGTGTAATATTTTGATTTGAGGTTTGATCGTTGGGTAAAGAAAGAAGATGAAGAAAGATGAGAAAGGTTTTTCAGTTTTTTTTTTTTTTTGTGTGTGTTTTGAGGAAATCATTAATGTGCCTCGCAATTGGATTGATTAGGTAATTAATGTTAATTTGTTTGTGAAATGGTCTTGATAAAATATAGTCGCTCTCGTATTGCTAATAGGTAATGGGCTAATATGTGGTTGTGTGTGTCCCCTATTCGTGTTGCCGTCCCTCGCCGAAATGCATCGTGGATTTGCATGAAATTCTTCCTCTGCTTAGTGTTCATGATTCGTCGATTTGGCCTATAGGGGAAACGAAAGGATTTTACTGGGAGTGAGGAAGAATCAATAACCGGCTTTATGGGGTTAAAGTAAAACGTGAATGGTAAATAGTGGGTTCTAACTTCTAGCTGACTAAAAGCATAAGTTATATCCCTTTGTCCAACATTGTTGTCTAGATTGATATTTCACTTTTAGTATAATTTAAATCATAAATGAAAATTGGACAATAATTTCGAGACGGGGAAGTAAACAAATATCAAAATTTAAGTAAATGTCTTATTATTTTCTGGAATTTAAGATATTTTGAAATAAAATAATATATGAATTCTTATTATACAGTTGCCTTTGGAATCAATAGTAGTAGTATATAAAGTGTTTCAATCAATTTGGCTTCCATGCAGACTCAGATACTTGTCAAATTCATTCGTTCGTGACTGCCCTGGAGTTGGCCTACCAGATCGACTTCCCTGGACAAAAGGTTGTGTTGGACAGAGATGAACTCATTCGAGCTGAAGAAATATTTGGTGATAAAGTGACTAGTTACGTACAAGAGGATGGCTCAGTCAGGACCTTGAAGAAATTCGCGAATGACCTATCTGTTGGAAAATATGTGGTTGGTCGTGGTGTTTCGGTGATAGATGGCCCAATGAAGGTATGCCTTTTAATCTTTACTTTGGCCCAATGTGTTTGGTCATGTTATCTATAGCCCAAACTGTGGGGAAATTGTTTTTTAACAGTGTGATAAGTTGGTTAATAGTAGTAATAAATTAATAATTGAGTAATGCATGATAATAGTAATATATAAATAATCATGTCAAATATTCAGTCTGTGATAATTCTAAAAATTCCCTATTATCTCTCCTCGAAATTAATTTATTATACGGTTTTGAATAAAATATTCAGGGGCGTAGGTTGTATCCCCGAGAGGTGTTGTTCTGTTCTGACGATGATCCTCTTCGTCCGGCTCACTTCATGGTTGCTATCCAGAGACAGCCTGTGGTTATCACTGTGCCGGGTGAAATGGCCGTAAGTTTCTAATTAAGGGTTTTTAAAGAAATTTATAAGGTTCTTGTGTATTACTATTATTGTTATTATTATTAATCAACTTTTTTTATTATAAAACTAGGGTGACGTTTACAAAAGGAAGCCGCGTGCTCCCACAAACACCACTGATTTGCACGGAACTACGGCAATCGGTTGGTTGCAGAAGAATCGCGGCGGTTTCTGGTTACAGTGCCAGGATTCCAGTGGAAGTTCAGTTGGGATAGAGGGCACTTACTTTGTTCACTATGAGAGCGCCGTTGACAAGCTTTGCTTATTGGCTCCAATACTCAGGCCTTCCCACTTTCCTCTCCTCTCATACAGATTCATGATAGCTATAGTGCGAAGGTGAGAACCAAAAAACTTGCTTTGTTGGGTTTGAAGTGTTTTGAAACCGTGTATTTGTGTTTCATACTTTTACTAATTGGAGTTGTGTTTGTGATGTTATTGGCAGGGTTTAGAGTGGTTGGTTATGGTGGTTTTTCAGCTCAGAGTGTGTGCCTGCCTTTGCAAAGTTTCAAATGCTCCCAGACATTCATTCCAAGTTGTTACCTCTCGATCGTTAGTTCCTTACTACTACATCCTTCTTTCTGTAATTCTATTAAACTAGAGACTCTATTGTCTGTTTATGTTCGCTACTCCTAAGTTCCGAATTTCGGATGGATTCCATGTGACTACGTTTGTGAAGCTTACAAAAACTGGATGTGTTTGAAATAGTCTGATGTTTAAAACCTCAGAATCAACCGGTTAAGGTCTTTTCGCAAATTGAGGTTGTTTTTGTGTTTAGACATTTGAATTCCGATCAAGGCTGGAATCTTTTGGCATAAAATATGTGAAGTCTTTAGAAGCTTGTGTTTTGTAATCCTTCCGTCTTTTGCAGTTTTTTTTTTTTTTTTACTATTTTACTTCTAACAATTTCAAACTTTTTCCTTATACATCATTCATTTGAAATATCATCTTTTTATATTCCTTATACACATTTTAACAACTATTAAAGGTTAAAGTTGAAAAATTAAATAACGGAAACGAAAGCATCGTTCATGAAATGATACAAAAAGTAAGTATATAGTACGTTACCAAGCTCATATCATGGCCGACGAGCAAACATTACATTTGATCGTGTTCCAAACTTGATGACCACAACCCCCCCGATTACGACGGATCCATCCAGAAATACTCCTTCCGGTCCTTAATATAAGTCATTTTAATTTACCATAGATTTAACCTAATACACATTTTTAATCGATGAAAAAACCTTAAACATATATCACAACAATCAAGAGATTACAATGAATATGAAAATATATTTTTAAAGTTTTTTCGTCGATAAAAATATGTATTAGGTAAAATCTATGAAAAGTCAAAATGACTTATAATAAGGATCGGAGGGAATATGTGATAAGTATTATGTGATGGTTTACAAAGTGTTGTACAATTGTGGAAAATTTAGCTTAGCCAGTGGATTGGATATGCTTTTCTTTCCCTGACTTTGTGGGCATAATCTTTGTTGTTATGACCGAAAGGTTTGGTCTATGTATTTTTTTTTATTTATTATTTTATTCAGGACGAACTATATTTAATTTCACCCACCTAGTTTTGGCCTAATGTTACCATAAACCTTCAGACTTTTCGTAATAATACCATACGCAAATTGGATCAGTGAGGATAGCGATTTCAACATGGGGCGCAGTGAGTCAGGAAAACAAAAGGTACGTCAGATGTGTCTGTGGCCAAATACTTGGCGTGAATGCTAGTATTGGACTGGGCAAAAAGAAAACGGAGAAATAAATGGACACAAAAAATTGAAGTAGGCAATCTCGTTCATGTCGAATGTAACGATCAATTCGGCTCGCAAATTAACCATAGAGTGCATATGTTACAATTATTATACAATAACAGGAAAGATTGTTCAATATTTACTGTCTTTATTGAAAACTATTTATTGAAGCGCGGTAACTAGATACAAAAATGATCACAATTTACCATCATGAAGAAGCCAAGTACTACAAAAATGATCACAATTGACTGTTTGCTTTTCCTTGTAGACTAGGAGAGTTTGGGATGTTGGAAATGAGTGACATGATATCGGAGCTAGAGGAAGATATAGATGTGCGCCTCCTCTGTTTTTATAATTATAGAAGAAATATTCTCTCCGGTCATTATTATAAGGCATTCTAATTTTGTCTTAAGTTTCACTTAGGATATCTTTTTAATTGAGAAAAAAAAGTTAAAAATATATTTTCACATTTGTTGTGTCCTCCTAATTATTACGAAATATTTCTAAGATTTTTATTTCAATTAAAAAAACATCTTAGGTGAAATCTAGGACGAAATCAAAATGCCTTATAATTAGGACCGGAGAGAGTATAATAGTCCAAACTTAAAAAATAAATCTTAAAATTAGACCTATCCAATTGGTATCGTATAATCTAAAATTTCTTCATAAGTTAAATAGTTATGAAATTTTATTCAATTTTTCATATTATTTTTTTTTAATTTATAAATTTAAGTCATCTAATTTTCAGGTTTTAGTTTTTGAAGTTGGATTATTTGTGGAGATTGCATCATTAGTTTTAGTCTTGATACAGGACGATGTATTACTATTTAGTTTCTTTTTGCTACAACTTTTCTAGGAAATCTTTTATGTATAAATATCTTGGAGATATTCCAGAAAGGGTGGCTCACTTAACTCATCATCACAAGTTAGTCATTTTTTGTTCTTTAGCATCCAAGAATCTTGGAACGCAGAAATTGTACACCTGAAAAATATATGCTCTAACTAAGTAGAAGGGATTGTGTTCCATCTATTTGTATTAAATATAGAAACCGGAGTCTAGAGGGGCTGAGGGAGTATGTTATGGAATAAAAAAATTAAGTTGTGCATTTTAAATAAAGTTGGAGCTGAGTATAGTGTAGATTAAATTGATTGTAAGAAACTTATTAATTGTAATATACAGTTATAAGAAATAGGGTATACATGTAATGTACATGCATAAACATATTTAAATGGAGATTAAAGAAATACTCCTTTTCGTCCCAATTTAATAGTTTATTTTAGATTGATTAGTTAATTAAGGTTTTGTGGCAAAAATAATCAAATTTGATTTCGACACCTATTATTATTATTATTACACCAATCATACGTACATAGGGAAGAATCCAACATTGGATCTGCTTTGCAACACTGGTTTCTTATTCTACCATAATGATTAATGAGAACGTGTTCTTATTAGTTCAAGCCAGCAAATCCTTCTGGAATGGGCTGCCCATTAGTCATTTGTATGTTAAACAGAGAAAAAAGTAAAATAATTTTTACCAAATAAAATAAATAAAATAAAAGAAATTGGGAGAATGTTCTCTTTATTTTAAGTGGTGGTGTCTTCATAAACCGTAGCGGAGATTGCATCATTGGTTTTGCGACCAACCTTGGTCGTTGCAGTGTTTTGGAGACAAAATTCTGGGGAACTTTCTTCAGCCTCAGCCTGAGATTTAGGTTTTAGCTTTTTAGGTCTGTCTATCAGGCTTTTGAGTTTTTGACGAACGAGGACTTCCGTTAGTAAACAACAATACCTTTCTACGAGATTAGGAAACTACTTAGTGTTGTAATTAAGCATACCCGATGTAAGCAAAATCGTATCGCCAATAGTTTGTTAAATTTCGGCCTAATTGGATAAGATCTTCCCAACTCCATAGGAATGTTTTGTAGAATCTTAAGGTTCGGCTTCTCATACTAGGGAGAATGTGTTTTTTACTAGACATATGAGCCGCAATTAACATATAAAATCTTTACATTTAACAAGAAACCTTGTAATCTTTTCCCAAAAAAAAAAAAAACAAGAACCCTTGTAATCTTTCGAAGTTATATAAGATACTTTTTCCAGTAAGCCATTTTGCTAACAATGGTTTCGTTTATCGAGTACAAAGTCTACATAAGAACATGATAAATGGAAGAGCACGCTTGTTTAATGCCTCCGACTCTTTTAATTTCATTTAATTTCCTTCATTACACCAATGTATATCCGTAAAGTTCTCATGATTTTCATAAAATATAGCATTTATAAATGACATTCCACCATACACTACAAGTCCTGAATCAAATATGCAGACATCCATAGGTCTAAGCTGCAAAAAATGGAATGTCTAAGTGAATCATAAGAAACCAGTTTGGTTCACACAAAATCATTACTATCGAACCAGCGGCTAAGGTAACATATATAATCCAAAACACCCTAAAATCAGTTTACACAAACTAGTCATTGATTAAAATAATTTAAAGAAATTTCACAAAGCTTTCTGATAAAGGGAGGGGATGGGGAAAGAAACCCAAACAACACATGAGTCCCTATTGACAAAAAAGTTAGGATGATAACCCGATAAGATTAGTTCCCCTGCAAAAAAAAAAAAAAAAAAAGCAGCATTACCGATCCAACTAAGACATATAAATACCAAAAAAAAAAAAGAAAAAAAGAATGAATGATGTAAGGCCCAAGCCAAGCATAGATCGCCAGCTCTATGTTAAGCTCAAAAAATTATCTTAAGTGTTTATGTACTTTCAAGAAAATTATCTAAAGATACCATTAACAACAAATCATGCATAACCGATGTAAATCTTTCAATAGCTTGAGCGTCACTGCTATGCTTCATAAAGAAAGTTGTGATCCAAAAGTCTACATCGAGTAACATAAAAGATAATCCTAAGTGTCTATGCTCAAAGCCCCGGGTTTTTGCTGTTTAGGATCTGGAGTCACAGTGCTTCAAACATGGTAAAGAAAAGCACTCATTCAATGAGAATAAAAATAATACTGATCAATATTTAGCTATTCAACTACATTTCAATTATGTCAAAGTATGTGCCTGACATTCAACGTTAATATAAATCTTCACAGACTCCAAGCAACGAAACATCCATGAAATTATGGAGATGACAACATAAAGATGTGTCAACTTCTTTCCCTTTCTTTTCCAGAGCTTTCACTAAACAAAGCAGTAGAATTACTAAGACAATCACGAGGAGAACAATGTTCAGAGAAAACAACTGTACAGTGAAGAATGCAATCATAAAATGCACTTTATATGAAACATAGAACTCCACAAAGTTCAACCATAAAATACAAAAAGAATCACCATCCACCCCTCCCTCAACAAAAGAAAATAGGGGAAATTCGTGACCGCACTGAATACCCATGCACTTCATAAATGCTCGTGGAGGAAAATGTACCCTAAGTTTCGAGTAATCTTTCTGATAATTTTGTACGTTATACTCCCTCCGTCTCATAATTATTGTCCACTTTGCCTAAAAAATTTTGTCCCAAAATTATTGTCCAATTTGACTTTTTATGGATCAAATTACTCATTTGCCCTTAGTAAAAAACACTATCTATAAAATCTTTGAGGTTAAACAATTACTTATGTAGGTGTATATCCGGTTGTTCAAGGTAAAATATAGTTAAATTTGACTAGAAATAAAATTTTTCATTTTAGTAAAACTGGACAATAATTATGGGACGGAGGGAGTATAATTTAATAAATGACATCAAAGCAATCGAGTGTTTCCAATTTGAAAGCTAAATTATGCAATGACTTAATGATGCGATTGCCTATTCCGTTTCTTAGTCGTTAAGTTGCAAATCTCCATGCAACAATCAAAGCTTATCTAAAATAGGAGGAAGAAAATACCATCATAGGGTATATCATAATTTCCGGATGCTATTAAATTCATCTTTCTCTTGGTTCCATATTTATGCTTCTTGGTGTATAAGATAAGATGTTATCGTATATGGCCTTCAGTTGGAAATTCAAAGGGGCAAGGTAATAAATTTCAGGAGAAAGTTATCAGTGTTGAATGCTGGATGCCAAAATTCCCAAATCAAGGAGAGAACAACAACCAATAAACCTAAAGTTGACTAGGATAACATTGGAGTAACAGGCTAGAGGAGCAAATCAGGAACTATTGTACCCAAAACAAAAAGTGTGTCTTTCTTCCGTTGGATTGAAGCTAATTCAAATAACTAGTCATTTAGACACAAAACATGAGTTAACCCTTAAAGACACAGCAAAAGCTCTTAAGATGTTTACCATTGTGAGATTCTAATTCACGACATAATGTCAAAGAGGAAACTAGGACAAAAAATTTGATGAAATGAGAGAATGCTTAATGAAGATACTTGACGGAAAAGGCCAGATACAAAGAGAGTGCTGTTGTTTCCATATTTAACTCTGAATCTTCGCACACTAGGAAGTCAAATTTAGCAGCAAAATGACCAAAGGAGTACCACAATTAGGGTTCCCGAAGGATAACCATTGGAGAAGAATGATAGCACAAGTTATGAAAATGTTTTGCTCTCCAATTTAATTCAAGACCCTCATTAAAAATGAAAAATTCATGGAAGGAGAAAGGAATCAATTAATGTAAAAGGCACCAGTTAGCTATACAATTCTCGAGGATATGCACTTATAATTTCCAAAAAATTACAGGAACTTACTTGGTCACCAGAACTTCCGTTGTTATCCGGTTCATCCTGTTCATCCAGTTCATCCATCTCAACGTACTGCCCATCAGGAGTCCTATAAACTACTGGGTATGGAATGGTAGTGATTTCTCCATTCACATACTTATCTCCTGTTGGAAAAGTTCATACATTTGCAAAGCAAATTAGACTTAATGATTGTGGTAAGAAGGAAGCCAAAGGACTGTCACAAGAACAAAGCCGAGACAAATTAAGATGCTCAAATTGTACCTCCATATCGTTTGTTGACTGGATCGACGTAAAAATCCGGAACCACAAATTGAACTCCTGGAACATCTGTCGGATCAAAGTTGAATCACATAATCACTTTCAAGCAAATATTGGGTCATGGAATGAGTGTTAAAATCATTCACCTTTGAAATTTTTGGCGGTTTCCTCCGAACACTCGACTTGGAATCCGTCATAAGATGTCGTGCTACATGCATAGATCTTTTTCTTGGCTTCTTCCATGCTACAACAGCAACAACAACAAAGTGGAGCTTTTATTGTTCAGTTTATGTTAATGGTAACAATTTCATTTCATCTTTGAACAAATGAAATAATGAAGACTCCAAACAATCAAACACCTCCGATTCAACATCAAATAAGCAGAGAATGGGGCCAATAATAACAGCTATATTTTATTATAAAAAAACAAAAAAAATCGGAAACCAGAAACGACCTTCCGAATACTTGAGCAGCCGCACGCTCATAAGTAGCAATCTTCTCCGGATCGAGAGTATCAGGCGAAAAATAGAAGGTGATCAACCAATGATTGCCATCGGGGCCATCGAACAACATTTGATCTTCAGCGATTTTCTTTCCGCCGTCGTCAGATGATGGTTTCAGGGATGAGAGGGACACCGCCGGCGATGAAGTGAAAGATCGCCGTCCCGACAAAAGAGAGAAATGAGGCGAGAGAACAGTGGGGATCGGACGGATCGGAGCTGAGCGGGCATGGTGCTGGAGCAAAGAGGAGGCTGAAGTTATGGCACGACGGAGACCTGTACGAAACAACATCATCGCCGCTGCCGGGAAAATTGGGTTGGAGTGAGTGAGAAATGAGTGTGTGCTCGTTGGAGAATTTCAGGCCCGGTGTCTCTCTCTCTCTCTCTCTCTTTTTTTTATTCTATTTCCGAAGATTTTTTATTCCGATAAAAACCAAAAAAAAATTAATTCAAGATTTTATGTTATCGGCAGACTTTGGAGTTTATAAAATCTTGTAAAATCTGTTTATGTTATTATTATAATACTAATAATAAGTATAATAATCGTAACTTTCACAAAGTCAAGGAAGTTCCCATTCTTTAATTATTTATTCATTTGGCTTATATTTTGATTGTGCAATCTCATGGGCACTATGAATTGGGATTAAATTAATCATCTTAATATTTGCCACATTTGTAATAGAGAAAAAGTAGAAAATTTTCATCTTTATCCTGGTCTTGACTCATTGGTCAACTTGCGTTTACCACCTATACTCTTTTCTATTTTCCCACAAATCAAACTAAACCTTTTCAACCTCCTGTGTTGTCCTTACGCCGGGAAAATAAAACCCGATGGCCTTGCGAGCAATTCTGAGGGCAGCCAAACCAAGGGCTTGGCGCTGGCCAAATCATCATCATCATCATCCAACCACCGCCCATGATTTCTTACTTCACTGCGGCCGCCGCCGCCGGCCCGGTTTGCTTATCCCAAATCATCAGTATTGGACGACACGCGAAATAAAAAACCCCAAGCTTTTCGAGATTGATGATGACAAAGTTGCTGAATACTTTGGAGGTGTGTTTTCTGTCAGCAACAATCACGAAGAAGCTTTGGCGTCCGCTCAATTTGCAGTGTCGGAGCACAATAAAACCACCCATGATGGCCAGAATATTCGGTTCCAACGGTTGGTCCGAGCAAGCAGGATGCAAGTCGTTTCCGGGCATGATTATTTCCTTACATTGGAAGCAATTGATGAGAATGGCGAGTTAAACGTTTACTATGCCGAAGTTTGTGACTCCCCTGCTTCTCAAACTAAGAAGCATTTGCGCCATTGGCAGCTGGTCGATCACTCCTTTTCTTACCCTTTCAGTAAATTGAGTAAATTGAGGTTTGTTTGTTTGTTTTTTTTTGTCCTTCTTCTTCTTTACAGACATGTTTTGAAACCCTGAAATTCGGATGACATCTGTTTTGCTCGGGAGAAAAGATTGGGGCTTTAATGTTTTAGATTGATAGTTCTCTGTACGTGCAATGATGCTTTCTGTTTAATAACAACAGAAAAAAACCACAACATTTTCTGTTTGAATATCTGAAAGAGAATTGATAAAAGGATGGGTACATATTGCTTGCCGCTTGTTGAAAAAACGTTGGAATGAAGTAATTATCTGAAGTAGACTCTAATTCACATATAATTTGGGCACTTGCGCGTTTAGATACTACATACATATATAAATTTCTTTGTATGTATGAGTGGGCTTTTTTGAAGTCCTTTACTGAATCATTTATAGAAGCTAGATATCTTTTCTCTTTATCTTTCATTCATTCAGATTCCTATCGGCAAAGGAGTTATAAAATGATTTTCTTTCTCTAATTACCTAAGCTTTGGAAGTGGGTCCTTTTCTGTTCTGCAGTAGTGATAGGGAGTCGTTCATGGAAAGGTTCCACAGATGTCAAGATGGCCGTATGTTTCTGTAAGTACCGTTTGTGATTTTTATTTAGTCTTATGTCATTCTTCCTCTATAAATTTCAGTTAGCGTCGACTGCTTGTATGTTTATTTTGACTTTTGTTAAACTCATGGCATCATAGTGATTGGATATTTTTTTTTTCTTTTTCCACAGGCTCAGAGTGTTTCTGCCTACCCTGACCCTGAAATACAAAGATGACGCGAGCCCTATAACCTTTGAGTGAGTGAGATTCAGATGACCACTTCTTAGTTTTTACATTCTTGAAATAATGTCATTGTTAAAAGTGTACCTCTAGCTCCTTCTAAACTCTCATTTTGATAATTGCTGCGTCCCTTTTGTTTTCTTAGCATCATTCTTCCTTGATGATCGTGGGGTCTTGTATGTTTATTTTGAGATTATTAAGCTCATCGCCTTGTACACATGGAAATTTGGGTTTCCCGTGTATTAAGAGCTTGCCTGTGAGTGTGAGATACAATTGATTCAATCCTTGTGACATTTTTGTTCATTTACTGTCTGATATCCTTGGATTTTCTTTGTGGCCACGTATCTCCTAGTTTGGTTGTTATTAGATCAATCTAACAAGGTGGACAGAGCTTAGTGTTGGCAACTCGGGACTTGTGTAACCCCACCCCCCCACCCCCCAAAAGAAAAAAACACCTCAATACTTGCTGCCAATGCTGGCCATCTGTACCCATCTTTATTCCTTAATTACTCTAGCATAGGTCCCTGCATTTGCATACATATCATCCATGTGTTTTGTTTATTTTGATAAATTGGGGTTAGCTTTGTAGTATGGATGTGCTTCTATTCTCATTTTAAAGAGGCAGAGAGGCTTATGAAATTTAAGCTCATGTTGTTTATTCATTTTGTTATTCTTTTTTGCATGTCATTCCATTTGGCTGTTAACCTAGAATAACTATTCTGATTCTCTCTTTTATCTATCGTTCCATTTGGTTATTAAATTAGAATAACTTTTCTGTTTCATGATTTATAGAAAATATAAATTCTGTTTGATAGTGTTGCATAACATATTTTCTCACTAGGAGCAGTTCCTGAAATATAAAAGACATTTTACTTGTGAGCACTTGCAAAAAATTCACAAGCACTATTGGGGGAGGGAATCAGAAGCACTTCACTGTAGTAATAAACGTACAATGAATACGAGTTATCAATCCAGTTTCAAGTGAGAAAGAAATTTAAAGGTGTCGTAATTGTACAACAATGTATCTACAGTTTTTTTCTAAATAAATGTGGTAGAACAGTATACTTTAGACAGCTTTTTACATAGCTTCTACTCTCAATTTGAACTTGAAGATTTGAAGATCTTTACTAGTTATGCATAGAATCTGTGAGCCTTCTTTAGGTGATTGTGGTTAATGTTTCTTCTCTTGAACATGTGATATGACTGCATCGCCAACTCATTTTCCATTTGGGTTTTCAATTTTTAAACGGGCTACTATTCTGGGCAGAGAATCACAGCATGGTCCGTACATAGGAAATCCTGATCGGGCTAGACAAACTATGAACTCTGAGGAAGGTGTTACGGACACTACTGGTTCCCCTTCTTCGTCTTCGAATGATGACAATATAGATCCTCATACTGTTGCTAGTACTAATGTTGTCCCCGTCTATAACATGATTCATTGTGGAAAGGTTGCCTACTATGCTGCATCTGCTGTAAGAGTTTACAGAGAAAAGAAGGTCCGTACCCTCCCTCTTTGTTCCTATGAGCCGTGTGCCTGATATAACTGGCTGTGTTTTCTTGTGAGCTCAAACACCATAAATGATTGTGTTATAGGGTCAAAGACTGTGTCTTACAAAGATTCTGCATGCAAGCAAAGAATACATTGATGGCAAGGTCTTGTACGTTTTATTGTTGAAGGTGATAAATGAGAAAAGGGTGTACAGTTTTCTACGTGCCATGCTTGAAGTTTCGGAATTGAAGGAAGAAGAATCGATCAAGTGGCATGTACTTGATGAGTTATTTGCTGGCCCTCTTACAAAAATACAGGTATTCGTATCAAAATCTGCTACCTTTAAAACTTGTAAATGCTTTTTCATTGGACCATATATGTGGACTACATTCATTGCTTCTAATTTCCGCTCTTGGTTTTTGTTTATTTGAAAACTAGCCCTAGTGTTTTTCAACAATCTTGATTAAGAAATCCAACACAGAAAGAAGCATAATTGTTGATCGTTTTTTGTCCAATTAAAAAAAAAAATTATGTATTTTTGTCATGGAGTGCTAATTAGTTTAATTGGGAAAAGTTGGATACGTTACTTACTTGAATCTATGACTTCTCTAGAACAAAAGGAGCATACAGTTTTCTCCGGGTGAAGTTTCAGATTTGAAGGAAGAAGAATCAATCAAGGGGGATGTGGTTGAATAATTTTCTGGGAAAGAAACAGGTAATTGCATCCAAACATGAACATTCTAAAATGTTGCTTTTTATAGACTACCCTGAACACATGCATGCATGTTCCTAAAGTAATGTAGTCTGGTGATTTTAGTTTGCAGATTGCGGGAGGGGTTCGCTTTGGGAATGGTTGTTTCCGTTGAATTGACAAAGTCGGCTATATATCTCTGAAGACTACGGTTGATGGGTGATAATGTTGAAGCACGTACAGTTCTCACGATTGACGTAGAACTGATGATGTTAAATTGGACCAGAGTTGATAAAACTCTCGACTAATAAAACTTTTTAAATTGAGATGGAGTAGAGCATAATTTCAATTCAATCGTGACATGCATGCTGCCCAATTCCACCAGATTTCACAGGGAAATCACCTTCTTACTATCATTTGATAAATAGAGACAGCGCTATCGTGTTTGCTAGATGAACCACAACTTCGGTTCCACTTATAGAAGGGCGACAAATTGTTAGATATATTTACAATGAAAGGGTCAAAACCTAAATCAAAGTAAAATAATGAACAAGTTGAAATGATCGACTATAACTTGCTCCAAACTAACTTAACACCTAAGAATGAGACGTCTCCCTTGGAAACTATGAGTTGGTTTTATTTTTTCATTGTACTCTTTCTGTTTCTTGATTGATAGAAACAGAAAAACTCTGATTAATAATGCTGAAGCAGTTATAATTCTTACACTGAGTGGTTCTTGAAATATAAAAAGACACCTAATTTTGTTCAAAATCATACTGCTCCAGAATTGAAGGAGAAAGAATCCATCAAGTTGCAATTTTTTTTTTCCTTTAAATTGGATGATCCCACCAAGAATCAATGAATTATTCATAACCCAGCAAGTGACATTTATCATAACTGTGATTGATGAATTATTCATTTATCTCCAAAATTAAACACACACACACATACACAAACAGGTATTTACCTCCAAAATTTTCACCTTGAAAACTTCTAAACTGAATCATAAAATGGATTTAGGAAATACTTGTATTAGAGAAACAAAAGATACATAAGATTTACTGCTAATTAAAAAAAACTTAACTCTGTTACCATCAACAAATTTTGTGATTTGTACTAATTTTAGTATCAAGGTAGATTTATTTGTTTTTTAGACAAAGGAAGTAATTTGTACCAGATTTGGTGCCAAAAAAAAAAAAAAGGACGGAGAGATTTTTTTTCTCTCAACCCTTCCATCAATTTCTGTAAAAGAGTATTCTAAAAAAATATTTATAATTATTATGTGTATCTATTGCAAAGTTAATTACTCCCTCCGTTCCATAATTATTGTCCACTTTACCCAAAAAATTTTGTCCCAAAATTATTGTCCAATTTGACTTTTTATGAATCAAATTACACATTTGTCTTTAGTAAAAAACATTATCCATAAAATCTTTGTGGTTAAACACTTACTTTTGTAGGGGTATATCCGGTTGTTTAAGGTAAAATATAGTTAAGATTGACCAAAAATAAAATCTTTCATTTAATAAAACTGGACAATAATTATGGGACGGAGGGAGTAATAAATATTAGAATTCATTTTAATCTTACATTAATGGAATCGTTTCTAATATTTTTATAATATATCATGCTTGAATCCACAACTTACATTAATGGAATCTTTTCTATATTTTTATAATATATCATGCTTGAATTCACAACTTTTGATCATGCATACTTTAAAACGTATACTAGTATCACAACCTGTACGGTTTCCGTGCGCCCTTGATAGAAAATCGATAAGTGATTATAAAAAAGAATACGTTTTTATGATAATTTTGTTTTAGAATGAAGTTCTATTTTGTACAGCTATAAAAATTAGGAGAAGAAATATTTTTTGAAATTTGATTTTGTTGGAGTGAATATGGGGAATACGAATAAATAATTTTATTTTATTGGAGAGAATATAGGGAATACGAATAAACAAAATTTTTGCTGTTAGACTCAGTCCTCTTCGGTTTAAGGATTAATTTTAGGAATTAATTTTTTCCCTGGATTTCTTCAAAAAAAAAAAAAAAATTGTTTTTACATGTAACTCTACCAAAAATGAATTCGGCCAATTTCTGGGGGCGCCTAGAAAAGAATTCATGCGAGAGACGCAGAAACAAGACCCTCAACATAATTAAACAACACTTGAGTATAACAATGAACAACAACCAGTAACTCTACGATATATAGTACCTCTCTCTCTATGATCCTGAAATTGAAACAAAAATATACTGTACATATCCTGCAACATGAAAAGGGGGTTTGTCCAACCCTTAACCCGGATCCCTGCCATCACTCTTAGACTTCTGGATTCCAAGTTCAGCAGAAGAAAGATCTTACTCCAGAACTGCTACCTCCTGATCAACTCTCCAGTAGTTTGCGTCGTTAAATTCCTTTACCCCAGCTCCGTCATCATCCTGATTGTCCTTTTCTGGAACTTTTGGGTGCAAGTTTCTCTTCAAAGGGCCTGCTTCTCCAACAATGCCCTCCTTAAGAGCCTGTTCCATCGCCTTCTCTGTTCCTTCTAATTCTACCCCAACAAATTCAACGTCCTCTTCAAACAAAGACGGCACTGGAGCCGTGTTTTGACTCGAATCGGAACCAGAGGAACTGACACTGGATTCAGCAGATGGGGAGGTACCATTAGGGACTGCGTCTCCACTTGAAGTTGAAAATCTGATGCCTCACCCCATGCTACCCATTCTGGTATTGGCCTGTCTCCAAAGAGATCGTCATTGTCTGATGGCTCAAAATGGAAGAAACCCATATCACTGGAAGCATCTGCCTTCTCAGTTTGATCTACACCAAAGCTCTCTCCATTTAACCCATCTGGGATACAAGCTTTAAGAGTTGGGTGTGACAGAAGCTTTTCCATCCACCAGTTCCTCATCCTCACCAAACTTCATCATAACTACTACTATTACCATTCGAGGTGCCATTCAAATTTTTCCTCCATCACTTCAGTAGCAGAGGAGCTCACTGGTGCAGGGTGCTTCACCAGTTCTATCATCTTGAAACGCAAACCAGTTGGAATTCGTGAACAAACTGTAGGAGGGGGGAAAATATAAAAATAAGAATCAGATATAACCATCGGCAAATATTTAGAGAAGGCAAACCTCAGCTGGCATACATTCAGGAAATAGAAGTGAAAGCCATTGACATTAACAACTAGTAATATCCCGGTCCCCTTTAATATTACCTGGCCATTGAATTGAGTTACAAAACTAAACAATCGTAAAACATGACCACGGATGAGATGTAAGGAAATGAAGCTTAAAATTGCTCACATAAGAAAAAATAATGTAAAACAAAATTATTTTCACTTAAAACAATTTAAAACAAAATTGTTTTTACTTAAAAGAAAAAAATTATTTTTACTTAAAAGACAAAATTACCCTTTTGACAAGTCAACAGTTGATCAGTTGACTGTTACAATTTTAACGGTTCTTGGACGGAAAAGTGAAAAAAGACAAAAAACCAACTTATGGTATTTAATAAAGACAACTTGCGATCTATATAACTTAATAATAGAAAACCCAGAGAGAGAAAACTGGGATAGTTTTCCACTTGCCGCGTAGGACTGGAAATTTTCTCCATTTTTTAATTTATTAAAAATGAAAAAAAAAGTTTTATCGTCAATTAAGCAAACCAAACGACATAATCTATTTTAAATGATCCCAAAACTAAACCTCCCATCTTTAATAAACTTCTGTACAACTACAAAATCTTGAACTATAGTTAAAATATTTTAATCTGAATCATAACTTATCATGAGAGAAGATTACAATCCAATCAATAAAAACTAACTAACAATTTGAATTTAAATAATTCACCAGCTTTGATGATTAATTTGTTGTATTAAAATTAAATGAGATAATCACAGATCAAATGAACCTCAATCTTTAAACATAATTTAGCATGCTTTCATTTCCAATCTTCTAGCAGTCACCATCGCCACTATGTCTACTGACTTTGTGCTATTGGTGCCAATACTTTGCAAGAAGATATCAGTATCTTCAGTAGGTAAGGGTACTTCACTATTGGTTAAATTAATTATTTTTTAACCATCTCATCATCGATCAATTTAAGTTTGCATCCATGCCGAACTCCGGAGTGTTACAAGCACTCACAGACATCAAGGAGTTCACCCAACTGAGGGTGAAATCAATTTCGAAAATCCACGTCCTAATTCTCAACTTGTGAAGACCTACATATGGACACTCCGAGGAATTGCTTCCATATATATGAGCAGGTAAATACTCCATATATTAATCTTATATATAGTTTTAATTTTTTCATGTTAAATTAAAATTTAAAAGTAACCCCTTGGAGTCGCAAACTACATGGCACGACTCCATCCGGGCGCACTTACCAAAAGATTCTTGGACAATTACATTTTTTTGCTGAAGTAAATAATATTCTGCGGATTGTTTCTTCATGCTTGAACTCCCATTAAAAAAAACAATTCCTTTTTTTTATATTTCTCTAAACTGTTTTTTTATATTTACTTAAATTATCCGTAAAATTTACAAACTTTTCATTAGTGTGAAAAAGAGAGAGCAAAACTAATAAAGTTAAATGTCGATGCATTTATCAAATTTTATTGATCTGTTTTTTAAATTAACTATGTTTATATCATTAAATTCTAATTAAGAAACTTCAGATTTAGGGGCAAAAAGAGCAAAACTAATAAAGTTAGATGTGTATGTAATTTACGATTTGTTTCAATAATTTTGATATTTTTTAGCGTTCTGATTTTAGGAAGTTTAGTTTTTGTTAGTTGGTTTCATACTTTTTTGGACAAAAGATTTTCTACACCGTAATCTTATACCACTTTCTGCATCATTTGTCAAGATTTTGACACATGACCTCAACAGGTTTATCCAATAGTGGGTTAGGGTGTCAGTTATATTTTTTAAAAAAGAAAGTAATAATTAAATAGAAAATATGGCAAGTTTTATATGATGATTTAGGTTGTATTGTAGGATCGTAATGTAGAAGATTATGCCACCTTTTCGTGACTAATAATTTTTCAAAACTGAAAGAAAGAAAAAAAAATTCCATTTAATAATATAAGCATATGATTAATTTTTTCCGAAATTGTGAATATAGAAATATTATTTCTGCACGTCCATCTAATCGAGAAGGTTTCAGAACTTGAATATTTGATAATTGATTTTATTTTCACGTTTTGGATTAAGTGATTTTTTTTGTTACTGCATTGAAGTGGTAACAATGACAAAAGCATCTCTCCTGGGAAGAAGACATTTGATTAAAATATTTAAAATTGTTCTCACAGTGACTAAGGCACCTTAATCGGTATGACTAAGGCAACTCAGTTAATAAGGATATTTGATAAAAAGTTAAAAGAATACTCTTACAATGACTAAGGTATATTAATGGGTGGCACACATGATTATATCGCCTTATCGGAAGGAACCAAGAAACCTCAATTGCCAGGAGTTAGATAAAATAATTGAAATTGTTGTAACAATGACTAAGGCACATCAATGAGCGAGGAGTAAATAGTTTATAAAAAAGTATAGTACTTTGAATTATTTGTATTAAAACACAAAAATTTAACTATTTAAAAAATTTAACACATAAAAATTTATAAAACTCATATCTTGCATATATTATATACACTCTATCGATGAAAACTAATTAAATTCAGAATATACAAATTTTTGATATTATTGAACTTAAACTTTCTATTTACATAAAATACAATCTATGGTGTTGTTGATGTCAATACCATAAATAACATGGTCGTGATGATGTTTTAAGTGATATTAGCGTTGGAACAGGCAAACGTTATGCAATAAGTTCAGCCACGGGAATCGCAGTAAGTTCAGCCATCTAAAAGCAGCATCTTATGCAATAAAAAAAAGTATCATAATCTTAGGGGGTGCCATGTTACATAGTGGTTGGTTATGGAATTATCATTACCATAGATAGTGCATGGTACAAAGTATCATAATCTGAAGTATTTGGAGAAGAAGTTAATAAAAAATACTCCCCCGTCCCACAAAAATAGTCCACATTGAGTTTTGTTTTGAGTTTTGTACTCCCTCCGTCCCATAACTATTGTCCACTTTGCCCAAAAAATTTTGTCCCAAAATTATTGTCCAATTTGACTTTTTATGGATCAAGTTACACATTTGTCCTTAGTAAAAAACATTATCCACAAAATCTTAGTGGTTAAACAATTACTTATGTAAGGGTATATCCGGATGTTTAAGGTAAAATATAGTTAAGTTTGACCAAAAATAAAATCTTTCATTTTAGTAAAACTGGACAATAATTATGGGACGGAGGGAGTACTATTTTTAGTACAAATTTGAAAACTCAATGTGTATTATTTTTTTTTAGGACGGAGGTAGCAACATCTTATCCCTAATGGAAAGTCAACAAACCAATGAACAAATCGAACACCCAAAAGCTGATCTTCAAGCAACGATGAATCAGAGATTTTGATAATACCCGTACACGTCAAGGAAATGACTAGGAGAATGTTATGCATCACCAAAACTGTAGATTAAAAACAATTCTCAATTTTCAACGATTGTGTAGTGATTGTGCTAATTTACGCATTAGTGTCCTGGGGATCACACTGAAAACGAAGATTTAAAAACAAAAACCTAAAAAATATGAATAGTCAGAAAGATGATTTGAAATGAACGTCCTGGTATAGAAGTTAATTTCAATTTTCAATAATTGGAAAAGAAAAAGCGAAGAAAAACAGAGTTTTGAAAAACTTACCCAAGAACAGCTTGAGCTACTAATCCCATCAATCCAACGCTTCCGCCTCCATAAACCAGCGCAATATTTCTTGAAACCTAAATTTAACAGACAGGATCACTGTTTTGAGCTATCAAATAAAAGAAAAAATGAAAAGGGCTGAAATGATTCTTTACATGTGTTCAGAGTTGTGCATGCAAGGGGAAAACAGAGCAGAAACAGGGGAAAAATAGAGCAGAAAATAATTTTACTAATCACCAGTTCTTGGCCAAGTTCAATTGGGTACTCTTCTTCTCGGAGCTACTGCCACCATGGCCAGCCTTAGCATCTGTTGAAGCTAGGGCTTTAGGACCCCAACTTTGAAGGGCCCCAATTTTGATGGGTCTTTTAGTATTTATTTGATATTTTAAATATAAAATTAAATTAATTGAAAGAATAAAATAATTAAAATATCTTAATTCCTTAATTTATGGTCCATTTTTATAACTTTGTTTCTAATATTAAATGATAATAACAAATCCTAAATCATTCGTATCAAAATAAATTATCTCAATTAATTGATTAATTTTTAATAATCAATCTTTCCAGCTATTACTTCGCAATCATCTCACTACGCCAAACATTAAAATAATCTCTCATTCTACTTTAATTAATTTTTTGTTAGATTTATCCCATTCATATATACGAATTGTGGTCTTTTTGACACCAGATAATTTATTTGTATATCTTTTTGAATTATTGAGTAAAATTATAATAATGTGAGATTCTTTTAATATATTTCTTTTTTTTTTTTGTTTGGTTAAATGCTGAACATGTAACTAGCATCTTTTCTTTTTCATAATTGATTAATCCTTTGTTTATATGTATGTTACAAAAAAAAAAATTACTTTCTATATAATAAAAATTAGAGACAAAATAGATAAAAGTTGTATCGTGATTATATACTAGTATTTTTTTCCCCATTTATATGACACTCATATATAAAATTTCAACTAAAGCGTACCTATGGTTCCGATATGATTGCATTAATAACAAACATAAAAAAAGAAAATAGTTCGAGCAAATTTTAAAAAGGCTTCATTTTACAATTTTGCATTTTAGGTTGAGACGGCACTAACTGCCAGGAAAGGTGGTTTCATAAAGTGATCAATGGTCATTTTCCATTAAAATGGCTGGGGGGTAGTCTTAGAAAGAAGTCAAACAATGTAAGTGCTAGTATAAATTTGTGTAGTATAAATAGGATTATAGAAGTATTATTATCAAAGAAAGTTATGTCGGGCAAATTACGTCGGTGCTGAAAATTCTGCACAATCATGGTATGAGAACAGCCCCACTCCAAGTAAATAAACCAAACGCCACATAATCAAGCACTGATAATGACCAGGGGAGATTCAACTATTGCTTTGCCAAATCCATACATTAAAGAATAAAAGCAGCCTTTACTAATGTACAATATAAGATTGTGAGATTCAATATTCACACCCCCACCCCCAATATGCTTGTAATAATGTGTGAACTCTATCGAACCTTTCTGGTCAACAACAATGGAAACCAAATTTCAGAAGTTTTGCGGAAAGTGTACAACGGGCCAACAGAAGTCGAGCTCACAGTTCCCCCTAAATCTGCAAGCCGAAAACATAACAAATTTAGCGTCATCCCCTCAAAATAGCAATGTAGAAGCACATGCAAAAGGCACAAGATGGTGTAACACCTAAACCAATTGGTTTCAATGCATTTACCTTGTACTCTCGTAGAGGTTTAGAAAAGAATGCTGTATCCTCATGCTTGTCAATTATGGCACAGTGCGTGCTACAATCATCACTAGTGTCCTTCGCTCTCAATAATATCAAGTAACAGAAGCCACCGTCAACCTCTAATTTGCTCGCCCGCAACACCTTCTCAAGAAACATTTTATTGACCTATCACAAACATTTGTCCATTCAGTTGATTACAAAATCTAAACAGGGACAAAAGCTTACAAGTTTCACACACAACAGGCTGAGAGAAATAATGGTCGAACCTCCTTTTTGTGTCTCTCAACATTGTATTCATTGTGCATCTCAACTGCGGACAAAGCATATTTGTGGATTTGTTCATTATCCTCAATGTCAACAGGGACAATTACATCACTTGCAACAGTCGAAGGGGATCTTTTCCTTATTTTTGGTTCCCATTGCATACTTCCGTCAATCGTGCCTTCAGAATCATCCAAGCTCAAAAGGAATTCAGGAACTGAATCGAAACGCCTGATCAGAATAGGAATTCAATGCTTGAACCAAGAATTGATAAACAAAAATGAAAAAAGTAAAAGTTCTTCAGAAACCAATGATACTTTGGACAAGTCTTCGTTACACATGAAAATCAAATAACAGGTCTAACAGAGGTGACCCATTGTCATATCTACATGTACCGAGCTATTAAAAAGGGAATTATACAAAATTTGTCACGATCACAAAAGCAGAAATAGTTATACAGTATAATTTATACCAAGACTATGACACTCCAAAGAACATAAGCACAAAAGATTCAACCTTTTCTCACAAAGCAGAAATTCAGAGACACTAAAAAAACGAAAGGAAGAAATTCATATCCAAGATATAATTTATTTTGATCTCACGGGACCTGACCTTGTGTATGGAAAGGGCGACTCATTGATGAGCTGACAATCGATCATATAAGCCAACTTTTGCAAGGGGTCATGGAGAACCAGGGCACGATACAGATTGAGGTCGCCTCTCTCAGTAATCCCATCCAACAATAAGCTATATATGGACAGAATACCAATCCGAATGGCGCTGGCATTCACCACTCTTAAGAGACGGAAACAAGGAAGCTGAGAAAAGGACCTAATGAACGGACCCATGCATCTGTAATCATTATACGTTCCCGCAGCATAATTAGCCGCAAATAACACCCCTTTCTCGTCGTTGGCGCAGGGAACCGGAGTGAGCTGTTGTTGTTGGGGATCCAAGTCCGTCGTAGATTGCGAAAAGCAGTGTCGGAATGCCGGATTAAACAACGGCAGGGAGGGAGGTAAGGTACGAGTACAATTGCAGCCGATTCCACCCAAAACTGATAAATTCTTCCCTTTCACGATTTGATTAGCCCGACTCGGTGCCCATTGTTTTGCTTTGCTCCACATAGCTCGCAAACCCGCCGCCGCCGCCATCGCAAATTTCCGCCCACGCCAAACTGCAGATTCCTGTTCGATGTAGGTTCAGAAAAAATTAAACAAAATAATAATAAAATAAATGTAGGATACTAATATCTATATATACTAGTGATGTATGGTCGCGCAATGCGCGACCCTGGCCCAATATATCTGTAGATCCCTGACCCAATATATCTGTATATCTTAGAAATGTTTATATCTGAAAAAAAAATATTTTGTATTTGGTCTGATATATTTTAGAAATATCTGAAGAATTTTAGAAATGTTTTATAAGTGTGATGTTTGTATTTGGCAAAAAAATAAATTGTATTTGGCCAGATACATTTTAGAAATGTTTGAAGATTTTAGAAATATTTTATAAGTGTTACTTCTTAAATATAAATAAACTTGATCAAATATATGTCTTGAAGTAAATGCTAGACAAAATATAAAAACATCCTAATAAGTTTAAACATTAGTAAGATAATTTATTGATGTTCTCCATTGGTTGTGCCAAATCAATACTTAGTTTTGGAAATTTATAATATCTTTGTAGTTAGCTTCCTCCAAAGGCTATACACTTAATTTTTGGAACTATTTCTTTCAAAAGTTTATAGGTAATAAAATATAAAAAATATGATTTTGAAACTGGTTAATTGTTGAAACTGGTTGATAACAAATACGAGAATAAAAATAATATAAATTTGCATAGGTTTCAAGATATAGCAAAAAAGAACTCACCTCACCATGGCAAATAAAAAAAAAGTAAAAGATAGCCCATTAAAATTTGAAAATTTTTTATTTTTTTCTGTAGGTAAAAATAATATATAAAAACACAAATAAACGTAGAAACATCATTCCTTCCCCCTCCATCTCAAATTCATAAAAGGATTCCCCATAAATTAGTTAAAAGAAGCGACCTGAACTATTTATATGATGAGGAACTAAAAAAAGTCTAAAAACCAAATCCAAAAAAAGTATATTCTTGAAACCCCAAAAAAGAAACGTGTTTCATTTGCAAATAAAATAATAATAATAATAATAATAATAATAATAATAATAATAATAATAATAATAATAATTGGTCGACTGGGAGTATGAAACAAAATCAAAAGCAATTAAACAAAGAAAAAACACAATTCATAATTAGTCATATACGAAAAAAAATCTGAGAATCCATAATTAAAAAAAGAAAATCACTCTAATTGAATGAAACATAAAAAACAAATTTAAAAAATCATACTTTGTAACAAAAACCCAATCAATCAATTCAATCCAAACATAACTAAAATCATACAAAAATTCTAGGCTAACTAACCAAATAAAAAATCACATCATACTACCTGACAACAGCTATGGTAGCTGTAACGGATGGATGTATAAAAATAATAGTAATAACATATTCTTGAACGGGAAAAACAAAAAATAATAAAAGTCAAACCAATGATCTGTGGAAATAAAATCATTTAAATTTTAATGCCTGTAATGGCACACCACAACGGCCGAAGCAAGATCAATGAGAATTTTTTTTTCCTTTGTGTTTATATAGAGAGGTAAAGAGAATATTTTTTGAAGTTGAAATTTTATCCGATTAAGATGTAGTTGATCATCACTAATGAAAATATTGAACATGCTAATAGGAAAAGAGTATATTTCACCATATATTCTCAATTGATGATTGATGAGGAATTTGTTTTTTTTTTTTAATTGTGGAGAAGGGATTGATTAAGGAGTCGATTGTCGTGGAGATGGGGATGAGGATTTGGGTTTTTTATGAACATGTGATTTTTTTTTGTTTTGACGAAAATAGGAGGTGGAAGTGAATTTAGACTGCATTTGACTTTTAAATTTAGGAGATGTGGTAATAAAAAGAGTAAAAAAAATCCTAAATATTGACTCATTTGACTTTTAAATGCAGGATACTAATATATATATATATATATATTTATATATATATATATATGGAAATTCTAGAGTCCAGTTGTCATTTTTTTACTGAACCGTCCAGTTAAAATTTAACCAATCAGAATTGAGGCATAAATGTGTTCACGAGGTGAGAAACATGGTAATATATTCCAAAATAATTTTCATTAAAAAAATTAAAAAATTGAAAAATATATATACATATCACTTACTAATCAGGAGTTTTTTTAAATCGAAATTTCAACCTTTTTCTTAAGTCATAGTGAAGCAGCACAGTTTCGTGTTTCCAATCGGCAAAGACTACTCTGCCGGATTTTTGCTCTATTTCCTAATCTCGGCATGATGGTATGCTTGTTATAGTCGGGGAAAAATTTCTTTAATTCCAATTTGCCGGTGATGACTTCTTCCTCCATTGCTTCCTTAAAGCAGCTGCTGATTACAGATATTCTTTAGCAAAGTTGCGAAGAAGAGCCTTTGCCCTGAAAGTAGCTCAAATTGGTTAATTAATGGCAATATTGTGGAACCCTTTTAAATTCATTAATTCCTTGTGTTGGATATTGAATTCATTAATCAAATACTAATTGTTGATTAGTGGGCACTTCTCTGAGGTGTTTACATATTTAACTTGAATGTTTTTCAATCGCAAAAGACCATCCATCTTAGCAGATTCAATCATTAAAGTTTTTGCCATTATCATCCATCTAAGCAGCAGAAAAAGTGTACAAAACAAAACGAAAGGTTGTAAGGAAAAACGCAAATTATTAACATTATGAAGAGGAGAAATTATGGGACAGTAAAGAAATACAGAATTCCTCACTTCTGAGTACTACTTTTTATTCAAAGGTAGCTTTTGACAACTATGTACTTTGCATTTCCTTATTGAAAGCACTTACAAAAAAAAAAAAAGGCTCTTTTTGCAGTGCGGCAAAGCATGACGACCAGAAGAAGTTAGCTTTGGCTAGAGGACTAAGAGTTGGCCTCAATCCAGTTGAAAGCAATAGGACTCAAGAAAGCATTAGGAATGCCAAAGCAGCTGACTAAGGAAAGTGCATGGCTGCATTCGGTATCAAATCATTGCAGATTTTTGCAGCTTCTTTCCTCACTCATGCACCATTATGTATTGAATTGAAAGATATCTGTAACGCAAGAATGCAACATCTTTTTCAAAAGTAATCATGCATTATAAGGGTCTCGAAAGACCTAATATTCTGTGCAATAAAGATTTAAAAGCAATGTTTCTTGAACTGTCAATTGATGTTAAATCAATTTTATTAACAAATGACTCTCATCATGTAATCAGCCACCATTTAAAGCTCTACACTTTGATTCGTACAAGCATTTAAAGATCTACGCTTTGATCCTTCAGCCTCCAATAATGCTTTTTGGATGACTAAATGACAGTAGTTCATCTTGAAATTAGAAGTTAGCATATATGTGATACTAAGTTTCAATATTATGAAAAGAACAGAATGTGCTTCAAAGCACTTTCTGATATCATTACTGGGAAGACAAACTAAAGAAGAACAGAAAACCTATGTTTCTGAGTCATGACATACCATACATTAGGACACAATAAATATAACAGATTCAATATCCACACATCCGTACAAGATAACAAACCTTGCAAGGCTAATGTAATAGTTTAATTCTTCTAGCTTATTGGACCTCTTCCATCAGAGTCTCCTTTTCCTGATAGCAGACAATAATATAGTTCTTGTATGGTTGAGACTTGTGGGAAAAGTAGGTTTTATACTACTATTTTAAATCGTCAACTACGGAGTAATGAGACCACGATCAAGAAACAATCAACAACAACCGAGCTGCATTTGAACAAAGGAAAAAAAAAGTGTAATCAATAATGACACGATCAGATTTTAGCTACATGTTTCCCAGAAATTTTGCAATTTTTTCTTGTTCCTCGAGGGCCTTTCCCATTCTCAGTGCAACGGCCCTTGCACTGTCAATTTCTACGCATGCAAAAGATCTTTCTTAACATCCTTTGAAGCCTGAATGTAAGAGGATTGAATCTTTTAGAAGATGAATACAATGTACATCAACATGATTCATGAAATTATGAGACAGAAACGGCAAATTACAAAAATCTCAATTTGCAATTGAAGACATGAATAGAGAATAAAGAGAAAAAAAAAGGAAACGAAAAAAAAGAAAAAATAACAAATATTAGTTCAGTAAACTACATCTTAAGTTATTAGATCTATTAGTTTGATTTTCTCCTTCGAGAAAAGTTAGAACATACTCAAATTTTCAATGATGGTTAAATCAACTATAGAACATAAATCCGCATAAACCCTTACAGAATAACCCTATGTTTCTCAATTTTGATTGCTTGTTTGATTGAATGGATTGAATGGAGACAAGAATTATAAATAAATTGAACGAGTAGAATTATTTCTCATGAACTCACAAAGATGTGTGTCGTGTTCTTCACAACCCCGGCGGTGTAGTTTTTCGCTTTTATCAAATAATTTTTTTATACATGTAATTAATTTAGGTAATTAGTTAGCAGGCTGGTGGTTTAGTCGTTATAATCAGGTGTATTTGCATCTATTCCTTTACAATACACTTTTTTTTTAATCCTACGGTCATTAACTATTCCAGTTGATCCTACGGTGATTAATCTATGACTAGTGGACTGAACTGTGGCCGCTCCCATATATATATATATTATATATATATTATATATTATATATATATATATATACAATATATAAAGGGGGAGTTTTACCGGTCATGGACCTGTTTAGGTACGGTTACCGGTCACTCCAACCAATACGTTCTTTCTTCCTCTCTCAGTTCTAACCGCACTCGAAATATTTCTTCCTTTCTTCTTCCTTCTTTGAGGTTCTTCATCGGTGAAAACGAAGCAAACTCTGTGGTTTGAATTCTAGTTAGCCTCTCAAACGGTAAATTCTCCAATTGTCGCATCAAATTGTTGGATAATTAAGCACATAATTTTGCTCCCTTTTTTCATCCCCATCGTGCAATCAGGAAGTGGTCTTTGTTTCTTTTAGAGTTCTTTGCAATTTCATTCCAGTAGGCCGGCAATAGAGAAAAAAATTGGCCTACGATTTCCGCTTTCCGTTTGGATCTTTTTGGAGAAAGTTGAAT